AAGTGTGTAAGACCCTTATAAATGAATGAGAATTAAATTCATCCAAACAGTTTTGAACTCTCCTCGCTGTTTTTGGAGCATCTCTTGAAGGTCATGTATGCTCAAAGTCCTTCAGTCGGCTCTTGACACAATGATCCTTTCCTAAATTAACCTGCAAGTTGCCATGCACCCTCTCTCTGGCTCCTCAGCCCTCAACTTCTCAGTGTAACTGACAGTTAAACCAAAGTGCTCCAACTGTTTGTGTCAATCTCTAGGGCCTTGATTTTAATGACCTGCCAGTTGACAAGGGTTTGTTTTAAATTATCTATTTCTGCACGAGGGGTCTTCACAGTGCTCTGCAGGTCATTTTCACTTTGGAGAAGGTTGAAGGATTCACTTATGCTCTGATAGTTAGTCCTGGTAGTGACATAAAATAGAATACATTAAGAACAACATGATTCAAAAGCTTGAATCTATGAGAGTAGTTTTTGTGGTATTATAGGCAGACCATAATCTGCCTTTATTCTGGTGGGGATGAGATGGGTGATCCAAGTGTATAAATTTCTCCGTTACACCAACTTCACTTCACTTCACTTGATCTTTAAGGAAATTCAACAAAATGTGTCATAACTGTGTTTTGCAACTTTTACAGGAATAAATTCATACCAGATATAAACACTCTAACAGTGTTCAACCACAATATATCAAGCTGGAGAGGAAAACATTTCACCTCACATATTTATATGACAAAATGGATGGATGCAGGGGGAACCTAATATGGTTAGATGTGAAAGAAAGTATTAAACCTAATAAAAAAAAATGCTCCCTGGAATGAAAATGTAGGGCTACCTGCCTCTGTAAACAAATAAAAGTCTCTGTAGCCAAAATTAATAACCAAACCACTGCTGCTCCCTGCTCCGACCTGGAGCAGAATATTGCTCACACATGCAGCGGGCTGAATGGTGCTACAGTGGAGAGAAACGTGTTTTGAGACACACTTAATCACTAGTTGTGAGAGGAGTTAGCAAAATATGACAGCTATTTTTTGTTTTTCCTGAAATGAGTCAGGAGTCAAACAATGCATCACCTTTTGCGGCTGACTGTGTCAATATTTCTTTTGTCTGAAGTCTGAATTTAAATAATAAATGTGTAACAGTCATTTGAAATATACAAATTGGAATTTGCAAATCATGATGGGTTGTGTTTGTGTGTATGTGTGTCATGAGCCAACGGTGTCCATGGCTTCCGACATGACTATGCAAATAAAAAGTTTATATAGAGAAATAGTTTATCAAACCTTGGTCTCACATTGCATTTTCCTCCTAATGTCATATCTGCCTGTAACCATTTCTAAAATTGCCTTTGCTCCAGGAAGCGACTACAGTGGCACGCAGTAGAGCGCATACCTCCGCCAGCACCCAGCAGTCCTTTTGAATTCAATCAAGCTGCACCAAATGTCATACAGTTCCCTAAATGTGCCTGTTTTTTGTTTCCTTTCCATCAAGTTACTTGAATTATTCCCAGGGGAAAACTGTGAAATGTAAAAAAAAAAAAAAGCCCTATTTCGCATAGTTACAGAAAGAAAAAAATATATTTATTGGGTTCTCTCTTGACATATACCCTCCACCAAGTTTTGTGTAAAACCAAACACATGGACAGTGGTTAAAACATAATTACTACCTCTGTGTTAGCAACCTACTTGCTGAAAGCGACATGCTTTGGCTTCTCTTTTGGGAGCTGTTGTGGTATCCATCTCTGTATAAAGTCCTTGTTTCCATCAAAACAAGTTCAGCCCTGGCATCTTTCCTTTTTCTTCAGCCTAGCACCACCTATAGGGTAATTGTGATTTAAAGAAATACTAGTAAGTCAACACTATTTTTCCTTTATATAAGAATGACAATGTGAGCAGTCAGATCATTCTCCACCACTGACTACTCCTCCAGACATTCATCCACTGCAAGTATAAGACTAAGCTTCCACTGCTGCGTCATCTTTTCAGTGTAATTTTGCTCCCAGTCAATCACTGAGAAGCTTCAGGCAGGTTTTGTTCTCATTTGCATAAAGTTAGCAGTTTCAGCTTTCAACTCTCATGTTGCTGGACAACCCTGTCTATCTTGTAATCCCACAATGCTTTGCAAAGCAATGACCAGGGGAACACTGCATTGTCCTTGTGCCATATTCAGTGGCTGTTCACTGTAGAGTTTGCAGCCATGCTCGCAGCTCTGTCTCTTAAAAGCAGAGCTTTATTTGGGCTAAATCCTTGTGTCACTCACTTGTCACAATGCTAACATGGTGTTAAGCCTGTGCATATTCAATGTACACATTTGGTAATTACTGTTAAATACAAAGTAAAACTGAAGGGAATCTGTTTAGTTTTGCATGTACACATATAACAATTCTGACTGGGTGTTGTTAAAGCCAAGTTCATGCACATGACTGTCAAAGTCATCAGATTTCTGTGCAGTTCGCCCTGCAGACTTGCTGTCTTGTGATTTGGTCTTGCGGTCATTGTAAGTTCATACTACACGGCTGATTTCCAATGGAGAGATTACACATTACCTGTTCTTTCACCACACGAAACCCCAACTAGTCCCCAAACTATGTATGGGGGTGGGATTATCCTGACCAACAAGACCAACCAATACTTTGTTGTCACCACTTGTGATTGGATCTTACTTAGCCGCTCTATGTGCAAAAATGACACACTTGTGTTGGTGATGACCAAATTATGTTGTTTACATGTGATGATATGCTGCGTGTGTGTGAGAGAGAGTGCTAGTGAGAGTGTGCACGAGTGAGAGAGGAAGAGTGCGAGCACAGTCAGGAGGGGCTGAATAAGAGGAAGAATGTGCGCAGCCATTAAGATTTTACTTAAGAAAAAATATTGACCATTATATGTTGTTTAGTGCTGATAATGTGGTGGTGGTTACAAAGAAAATTGAAACTGTAGCAGGTTTGTGTGCAAGTGCAAGTCAGTGCTAGAGAGGGAGAGAGAGAAAAGTAAACAAGTGGATTCAGGGCGGACTGAATGATTGAATGATTGAATATATATCATTTAATTTAATATATAATAAGGGTTCATGCATTAATTTATAAAGTTTTGGTGTAGAGACTTAGTCTGCTACGTATATGGTGACGCAATGACTTGGCTTGATGGACATCAGTTGTACAGAATATAGTTTCGGTCCATAATTATCTGTCCAAAATTCCAAGCCAATGAGAAAACCAACCGAGCCCGACCAAACCCAATATGCAATCTGTTTTTTATGTCCGACACACAATACCTTCACCACATCCTGCGTACTGAGCGGTCTCCATCTAGATTTCCATCAGTTTGTAAATCTGATCAAAGTCTGCAACTTGTTGGTGAGCCTCTGTAATCCCATATTTGAAGAGTTCACATATAGCAATTGGCGACTGTCAACAGACAAAATGGGCCGAGGTTGCAAGTTGTGGAAACTTGGCTTAAATAAGAAGGTATTTCACTTTAAACCAAAAAATAGCATTGTAATGGTTAATCTAGTGGGAACTTTCATGCAGTCTCTCCAATTGTTCTTAAATTATATCCGTCTGGACCAAATTGGGTGACGGACTGATGGACATTGCGTCCCCCAGAGGTGTTCTGCTAATGTGGCTGAATGTATGATGCATTGTGTTTTGAGTCGTGATTGTATACAAGTGCCTGAATTAGTGTGACCCACCTGGACCAGGACGAAGTGGAACACTGTTATTTTTGAATATGAAGCTCTAACCACCTGACACATTTCAGGAATAGCATTACATGGCCCATTTAGTGAACACCTCTTGTCTAATATCCAGAGAAGTGACTTTGACTCCATTCTTTCTCTTCAGTCTGTCTTTTCATGGTACATGCACAGACCCAGGTGGCTCCTTACAGATGAAAACAACCACCAAACTTCTTCCTCTTGATTCCTGCTGTTACATAGATGCATAATGTTAGAAAAAGGGATTAAAGTACCCTTTTACATCGATGAGTGTGCAAGGCCTGCTTTGCATATCTGTGTTCTTCCACCTGAACCAGATGTCATGAAGAGCTTTCATATCCCCCGGCTGTCGGTCGCTGACTTGATTCTCTTTAAAGATGAAAGGCAACAACAGCAATAAACAAACCATGCTAAATGACTGGGTACACACACTGTGTACACATGTACACAATACCTCTAGTCTTTTTTATGTGTGTATTTCATGGAGATCCAGGGAACCAAAAGGCATAAAGTGTAGTTTGCAAAATCAGATGTGGGGAGACTATCAAGTTAGCCTCACTATTGGCTCTTGGAAGCACAGCCAGTGTGTCCACCACTGGTCCAGACTGAAACACAACACCTATCAGATGGATTGTCATGAAATAATGTCTTTTAATGATTAAGGTACAAGGTTTAGGTTCAAAAGTGAGAGGGAAAGGCATGTAAAGTGCAGCATTAATGCAATTGATACACCAACATTGTTCTTTTCACATTATGATTTAACCTATTTATATTTGATATTCAACCTCTGAAGATTACTGAGTACAAGCACTGACACACATTTGATTATTTCTTTCCATTGGAAAAATGTGCAAAGAAGTTTAGCTGTATTTTTACAGCCCAGAGTAATGTCTGCAGGTTATTATCTAACATACAAACAAGCTAAACTGAGATGATTAACCTTGCAAGATAAGAAAAGATAAAGTGTATTGTTCCCACACTGGGGAGATGAACTTGTTGTAGTAGCAGATTGAATGTGGTAAACAAGTGAACACATTAAAGTATAAGATGAAATAAAGATTAAAAATACAATTTTTGGAATTTGTACCTATTATTTGTAGAGAGACATACTTGGATAAATAAAGTGCAGTGGCACAGGATGATTGCACGAGGATTTATACTGTGTTTTCGAGAGAGAGAGAAATTAGGCAGATATGGTAAATATTATTTCTATAATTTTTCTAGATTAAGATAATGCAGATCCACTCATTTTGCTGCATCTTGACTGAGCTTGTCTCCTCCTCCCCTCTGTTCCAGCTCTGGTGGGACCCTGAACATTCTGACCATAGGCCAACCAATGTCACGTTGATGCTGGTGGGCAACCCCCAGTATTCGCTCTGCCACCTGCTCCTGCACTGCTCCCATCTTCCCACTGGCCATGGCTACGAGCAGTGACCCTGGCTGCGAGAGGCTCGACCCTGACTGCGCCGAACAGGCCGCCAGTCTCACGGACATCATGGCTGCCATGACGACGAAAGATTCAGACGGTTCAACTGCCAACGGTGTTAGAAATGGTGGGGCTCAGCACGAGGGGGCTCAGGCCAAGAGGTCTCATCCCCCTCACCTGACTGGAAGGAAGCTGTCGCTGCAGGAGAGGGGCACTTACCTTTCATCAGGCTCTGCAGGAGGCTACACACACACCTCTCCTCGTGTGGTTCGCAGGCCCACGGTGGAATCCAAACGTGTGTCCATATCTGACTCTCAGGTGAGGAAGTCTTTTTTTTTTTTCAATTTGAAAAATCACATATTTTCCACAGGAAGAGCAAATAAAAAAAAATATATAATCTTGCACTCAGAAGTGATTTGGATTTGCAGATATTAAATTTTTCAGTGTATCAAAGGTAGCATCAGGGAGAAGGAAGCATGTGAAGGTGTGCACACTAGTCGCACATTAGCAGGCATTTTCACAGAAGCCATAGGTTTATGTTCTGTTTGTCAAATGGGGTTCTTAGGACCCCTGGAAAGTTTCTGTATTCATAGATTATAATTATCATGATGTATGACTATTCCCTGTTGAAAATATTTTGAATACATGTCTAATATATCTCTAAGACACCTGTCTTTTTGTTCTCACACATAACTAAGTAGAAGTGTTATAGACATATCTCAAATTATTCAAACGGGCATATATGAGGGGGTCCCTTGAATCTTGTGGGTCAATAGCTGGGGAAAAAATGAGAACCCCTGTATATAAGCTTCTTTATGTTAATGCATCTGTGTGCCTCTTATGTAAAACTCAATGATCCACTGTATGCACATCTGTGTCATGATGGAGTGTGAAGTGTGAGGTCACTGTGTTCTGGTGTTGTTTTTGTGCAGCAGAAGTGAGGGGTGATGTGTAATCAATGAGAATTTGCTGTGGAATTCATGTGGAACGTTTCTGATCATAATTCTTACTTTTAAATGATATAGAATATAATACATCTTCTCTCACGCTGTGTTCAGGTTGTAACACGTCACCTCTCATCCTCTGGGTTGGTAAAGGCTTTGTTAGCTGTTATTCTGGAACCGTCACATGCTTGTTGCATTTCTAATATTTCTGACACACAAAAATATATTGCAGCGTCAAACGTCTGAATCTACCTGCTTCATCGCCTGCTCTCTGAGGATTCTTTATTTTATATTTTTTATACTTTATAATAAAGTACTTTATTACTTTATTTTACTTTATAATAACTTTATTCTCCTAAATTTACACATTTGTTTCTCCTAAACTTATGATTTTCTCTTGTACTATTAAGACTTTATTCTCGATGTTTGTTTCCCCTTTAAATGGCCCTTATACTCATATACCGCTCAACACAACTTACATAGCAGAAGAACTTGCATAGGGTGACAACTGAAGTTTCCTCCTTTTTTTGAATCCACATTGAACATTAAAAATTCATGACATCTTCCAGGATGTGGATCTCTGACTTTTACAGACTGCTGCCACAGACTCACAGACCCTGTCATTGTGTCCATTCCTCTAAAAATGGAGTTTCAGGTCTTTCATGTCTACAGCACGGCAGAGAGAGAGAGAGAGAGAGAGAGAGAGAGAGAGAGCAACATTTCTTTTTTCTGTGCAAACACCAGTAATGACCTGAGGGGAATATTTACCAGGGTTTTTTTTTTTTTTTAAATCTTTGTGGAATCTCAGTTTATTCTTTTCTGCAGTCTAGGCAGGTACACAGCATTTCACAGTTTATACATATAACAGCAGTAAAATAATAAGATAATGTCCTTCCTCTGCAGTTCGGGAAGTCCAGCACTAATCCACATGCGGAAGTGTGTGTGTGTGTGTGTGTGTGTGTGTGTGTGTGTGTGTGTGTGTGTGTGTGTGTGTGTGTGTGTGTGTGTGTGTGTGTGTGTGTGTGTGT